AAAAGGCGTGATGTTATGTTATTTAGTATTTTAACGATGAAAACAATAATAACCTCATTAAAACTATACTTGGGAGTAAAGAAACCGAGCCATTATCGATTTTGTTTTTCATTTCTTAAATACATACTAGCATTTTATTAATTGGTAACGCATGCCGTTTTTATAAAGGGCAATTTAGTTACCTCTAAAATGTGAGCATTTCGTTGTATCAGGAATATTTAAGTTTTACAGTTATAGAGGGTTCGATAAAATGAAAAATATCGTTTGACTCCGTTTATTTGCTCCCAAGTGTATTTAATTAATATCACCTGACATTGATACCGCTTATATTTTATCTTTATGTAGTACCAAGTATAGTAATTAAAGCAAAACACCAAGCCAGTTTGGTTTAAAAATAAACACAAAATTGAAAACAAAAATAAGTTAATTCATAAATAATTAATGTTACTAGTAGACGACATGAAAGGGGCGTACGAACAGGTTATCTTTTACAAAGTAACTGTGACCATGGAAAAATAAACACATTACTATTCCTACTGGGTGGGGAATTACAAATGAAAATAGATCTTGTTACTACTTACATAACATTAAACTTGATTATGAAGAACGGATAAGGATAGTCAGAGATGATGAGGACATAGAAGAAACAGAAAAGGACAATGATGCGACGACTCACTGGGATTAAGAAATGTAAAATCAAAATATGTATAATATTTCAGGCATCTTTTACCAATCGAAAGACCATGACCGGCTAGACTAAAGACCTCATCAACACAACAGGATTTGCCGTAACAAAGCAAACAATTCTTACATAAATAGAACATGCACCACCAATAGACCAGTTGGGACTCAAAACCGTTTCACACTGACGCAAAGAATCCAATAAACACTACTACAACACAAATCACTTGGACAAACATTCAGACCATTTGGTATCAAAGGCGGAATCTAAATCAGCGTGGTATCCATTCGGCACGCTGCATGCTGAAGAGACAATCAATGCTGTATCTAACGCAGATAAATGACACGTCGACGAGGCCACAGAATTGCCGTATCGGCTATCAGTGGTTGCCATGTAATGCCTTCACTACATTTCATTGAATTTATTGCAAATTGTTAGGCTTTTGATGTGGTTGGAAATAATTTTAGAGATACGTGACATAAAATTGAGGCTATTTGCTCCCTCAAGTGTTGCAGGTACCACTGTGCTGAATTTCCGACTTGCTGCTAATTCATCATATTACTATTTAAGAATAAGGATTTTTAAACAATAAGACTTGCGAAGAAAAGATTGAAAAACAATGCTTACAAGCGGAAAAGCAAAGAGTATTCTTATAATAATCTTTTGGAACCAAAAAAATCACTCACAAAAAATCGAAAATTGACCTACATTAAGAACATATCGACACACTAAAGGCAATTCCGTACTGTACTATTAACGATAAATTATAAACAGTTAGTCACGATAAACATATCATAAACGCTGATGTTGATAATTAAGTGCGTAATTTCACTATAGAATTTGAAGAGAGCTAATTTAATAGTGGCAATAATGATAGTAAGTTACAACGGGTAGATGTAACGTTAGACGATGTACTATTTTATTGCCATTAGGCTATTAAACTCATAATTCGGGTCAATAGAAACAATTGTAATATAATTAATGGGAATGAAACCTGATTGGGAGAAGGTGAAACTTTGAAAGTAAAGGGCCAAATCGTGCAGAAACACTCAATCGTCGAGTTAGATCGTGCTGCTAATTATATGGAAACTATACACTTAAATGTAATGGAAAGGGCATAGGTAATAATTACGATCCAATTGATATAGTTAAGGCGGAAATTGGACAAGTACATAGAATTATTGGTAGCAATTTCCTCTTCGTTAGAGACAGAAAATTGGTTATAGAAATTTATTTGCTGACACGAGCACGTACTGCCGGACAATCAGGTCAATCAGTTGACCAAAATTACAAAAAAGTAATTTAGGTTCGTTTAGAAAAACTTTCAACATTTTCGTGTTTTAAGAGGCTTTATCCTATTTTCGATGCAATCATCTCCCGCGGTTCGCCACAATTCCATTTGCTTCACCGCTTACGTTCACTGCCTCTTTTTACCGAGTCCATCCACCTCAATACAAAAAACCAAATCGCTAAACGCCTTCACATTTTTTCACATACGTCAGATTTCCTACGATTAATTCCAACTAGCAATCAAAGCTTTAAATGATACGTTCACTCAACGATAAAAATATTCAACAGTTTAATAAATTTATGATCCATGAAACCTGTTACATTTGTTAATTTAAGTCCTATCTTTGCAATCTCTCTATAAAAAGATAACAAATGTTCTACGTTTTTATCTTCATTGTATGATGATAAGATTTATTTCATTATCATTACAAAATTCTCTGTTTGTCATCACCATTATCTTTTTTACGAAACTTGCAAAGAAGAAATATTTTTCCTCGCTTACAACCAAAGACGAGACAAAACACAGCCGCTTTGAAGCGAATAAAAAAACTAATCGAACACCGGATGGTCTGGCAAATAAATAACACAAGTACATTAACGGACATGTATGCCAGTCGATTGATCTCGATGACTTGTTTGCATCGAGTAAAAAAACTCAGGAGATTGGTTGCAATAAAGCAATTTACTATTTAACGATTGTTGATTTTAATGTCACAAAATAGGCGACTCCAGTACTAGATAATGACGAGATCGCATCACGATGTGATCTAGTTCTCGATAATGATACGTTCCAGTAATTACTGAGATCAATCTTTTTGTGCGCATAGTTCGTGTCTGTTAACATGTGTGGTATAACTTGATATTATGTTACTTCTCAGTTAAAGATTGCTTTCAAAAGGCGAACTGATACTGAGTTTAAAGTTTCATATAATTATAGGACATTCTACACAGAAGAATAATTTCAATAAACGTCTCGCTCAAGGTTACATGACACATTTAAACAGTGTACAGACATATGGTCTTACTTACATGATAACATTTAAAATAAAAAGCCACTTAACACGCAACGAGTCGTCCATTACTACCAAATCTGTTTTGAATGAGGCCACCCACAGAGCAAAAGTGTTTAATAATGCATAAAAAAGCGGAACTAATGGAACAAAAATACACGAGAAGCGGAAAATGTGCAATCTGTCCTACCTAAAAGGAAAAATCGGTTCTGTAATTAACAATCCAAGGCCGATCTTCAATGGCCGATCTTATTTATAGCCTTTTAAGTGGAAGCGATCGATAACAACGTGGGAATCAAGACCACTTGTCCCGTTGAACGTATCTTCTTCTACTGCGATGGACAAGAACGATTAGAAGGGATCGGGTTCGATTGTGATCCCGATAACAGAACATTGGTTTATGCAATGGTTTGTATTGAATAAATTAACGAATCTGGTGTGAGAAAAGATGTCGAAGGCAATAAAGATGGATAAAAACACAAGTGTGCCGTTCTAAAGAAAATGCTAAATGTAAATCGATACCCTACTTTGGAATTCTAGGAATATCATTAGAGGTTTAAACGGAAATAAAATGTTGATTTGTAACATGATATTTGCTAGGAGCAAAATATAATATTTATTTTTTAATTGAGACGCAGGCAGAAGTGCCTTTAAAGTGAACCAACTAGTGTCACTAACGAGGTTGTTAAGATCTTAAGTTAATAGTACGAGTGGTGACCTTAGACTAAAGCCCACAATCACTGCCTAACAAGCTATCATAGATTTAGAATCCTGAATAATTTAACACTTCATAAAGAATATATTAATACAAATAGTGTTAATGAGAATGCCGAAACGAAACGTGTCTACCTCTGGTAATCGATATGATGCACCGTGCATAGTTACATATTTAACTAATGATAGAAACTAGAAATAGATCTTGATGATACACCTTTATACGCCAATGTCATCCTTATTTAGCAAAATATAATTGTTTACAACCAGTAGTTTCTAAACACCGCTAATACTGTTGAACATTTAAATAAGGACATTGCTTAATATCATTAAATCAAAATAACTACTGTCGCACATTTGTCAGAACTATGATATTTATGTGTTCGCTAACGTAGTAATAGCCTTATGCTAATGATTTAAGTACTGAGTAATACCAGAATAGAGATTTGAATTTGTATACTTAACTAAGAAAATAAACGAAATAGTATGCAAGTCAAAGAAACAGATCCGGTTGTATCTGGATAAACCACTAAATGAATGAATGATGTAACAGCGATTGGTATAAATATTGTTGATAGGAATTTTAAGTGTAATGCACGAGCTTTCAGATATTCAGAGATTGCATTGGATGCAATGCAAACAGCTTAATATGCTTTAGCAACTGATGTGGGTGGGCTAGTAATGAATACGTGTAGGTACAACTCCGAAAATGAATGAGATTGGAAATAGTTCCTAATCAGATACACTGCAGCGTGGGAAACAACTAAACTGAGAATCAATAGCAGTTTCTTATGAATTCCAATACTAAATGGAACACAATAAGGTTCCAAATATAGATGTGTGAGAGAAAATGTCATGGTAGACGCGTAACGTTCAATAAAGAAATATCAAATATTAAGTTCTTTATCAGGTCAGTAAAGAGTTAACCCAAACATTAGCTAATATTTGTCGGTCGAATTCTAATCGAAATAAAATGTGTTATTTTAAACATGTTGGGCCAACATTGGACAGATAAGTGTATGGACACAAAAATTATAGGCAAACAATGATCGATGGCCCACTAAAGTTGCTATGTTGACGAACGATGGCAAATAAGAAAAAATAACATTCCAAAATACGGAGGTTTTCAATGTGAAAGTGTACTGTTGTCTGAACACGTAACTGCATAAGTAGGAATGAAGATAATGCTTATAGATATTTCTAATATTGTGGCATCTACAATTTACGACATGGGAAAACTTTTCGTTTCGAGGATTTAACAAAACAGACTATAGAATTAAATTTTTAGCGTCTATGAAACTTACCGTGACCACAGGAAGGCCGAGCCCAACGATGTACAGCATAACATTGGTGACTGTAGACTCTTTGTAAGGGTGCTTAAGAGATTCATCGTCGCAGAAGAAACCGCGTTTGTATGGAGTACCCCAGAGGTAGAACACGAGGATTAGGAATCCAACTGTAACAAAAAGAGAATACAATTAGCTCAGTATACATAGAATAAGAAAGATCTAAGGGAGATGTTGGAAACGCCTTGCAACTAATAAGGACTGCTACAAAAAAAATATAGGCGGGTCTCATTGGAGATTACCAAAAAGTGGTATCAATCAGAGTCTCGACCGGTGTTCTTGAATTAACAAATGCATGAATTTGATCGGTGTTAAAGAAGTAAGAGTGAATCGTATAACAGATATCTCGATATTTTTTTGCCTTATTGAGCTTATTTATTAAGTGCGAAATACTTTCATAAAGATTTAATTTCACGAAACTAAAAAACCTGAAGCAAGTTATCACCAAACCAAAAATTAATGTTAATGATCTGATAAAACAAATGTATTTACCTAACAAAAACTTGGCGTCACAATCAAACCTTGATACAGATGACATAGACAAAACAAAAGATAAACTAATGCTTGTTAAAATATCATAAATAAAACAAGGGAAGGCTAAAGACAATAATTTTAAAGGTCAATTCAATAGAGATATTTCTTGCACGAATTGTTATCTTACGAAAGCATTTTCAAGATTTTAATAAGCACATTTAAGAACAACATCCTCTATAGTATTAAGATATCTTAAAATATAGTCATAATACGCATTTTCTTCGCTAAAATCTTTGTCTTCAGTCAAAAATAACAAAGAATTTAATAAATCATCATCCCCTGTATCCCGTTTATCATGTCCTGCCTAGTTGTCATCACTGGAGTATTAACAAATGTTAACTCTTTGTAGTTGACAACAACAGCTGCAAGAACTTTATTCCATAAATCATCTACAGTTCCTAATCTTATATCAAGAGTGTCATATTCGTGTCAGACATTGCATCTTATTACTTATTTGTTTTATAATCATGTCTTATGCAGTGCTTACTGCTTTTATCGTCATTACCATGTCGTCATTTTTTTTAAGAGAATCGTTTTATTACACACACAAACAATTTTTATCAGCTCAAAGGCGTTCAGAATTATTTGTATTTGTAATATCTATAACTTTATTTCGACTAGCTAGAATATTATATAATTTCATACTTCATTTAAACTGTCAAACACCAAGCGGTCACCGGTGACCGCAACCTATTGTTCTATAATTGTGTCTACAAAACCGGTACTCGACGAGTTAATAGAAAAAATAATAATGCTTACAATCATAGGTAATCATAACTTTCACAAAGATAAACAGCATGACAAACAGTAGCGAGAGACGATAAATCATACAAACTTAGATTTAACATTTCGCTAGTACTTGAACAGTGGATTAAATTTATTTATAGACTCCCGATTAACTCAGATTAATGTCACGGACAACGAGAGCATTGATTAATGAGTTTATTTATACGACAAGTCAAACAAGGCGAAAACTTATTAGGGCTGTCCACAGTCAGGAATGTGTTGCGAATGGATTTATAGCGGCGTAGAATTCGGCCTAGTCACAATAACAAGACGTTAATATTATAAGGTAGCCCTTGATTATGGTTGGAGTGGTTGAAACTGTTTGGAATTGGACATTATTGTGGACAAAGATTGAAGTAGATTTCAAGCTTTATATCCTAGCATGTTTAGTTGAAGTAGGTAATGCAATAGTCGCTTAAAATTACACTAAAGACGATGAAACCACGCATGTTCTTCTAAGAAGTACGAAAATTTAATGGACACTTTCCGTTCATGTAGAGAAAACAAATTTCGTTTTTACTTAAAAATCGTCGATAATATTAGAACCTCATGGTAGATGAACAATTACTTTTACCGTCACTATAGGCCAAGAAACTATACCACCTTTTTTACTGTCCTTACACTGATCATAAAATATTAAGAACCCATCCAAGTGCTACACATAAAAACTACTAAAACAACACTATTTTATGATAGAAGAGAAGAATATTTTCATCAGACAACACATCATAAATCACAAGGAATACGTTCAAGCTATAAATCTGAAAGGGCAATTAACGTTCTCAAAATGTTAGAAAAAAAGATCAAATTTGACTGACTGTTGTCAGAGTAGGAATTTAAATTGGTAGAAACATAGGAACTAACCCCATTGGCCCAGAATTAACTATTGTTTCACGGCTTGTTGCTTGTCCAAACATTTGAATGGATGGACAAAAAACAGCAGGTACCACAAATGGGGTGGCGGTGGACGAAGAAATATATCGATGGAAACGTCAGGATCAACGAAATAACAGCTTTTGAGGTTGACTTAATGACATAAATAGGGGTTCGTGTAATTTATATTTAAAATCTTTTTTATTTTGGGGCAGGTGTCAATTTGATGATCTTTTGTAAAGCGTTTTGTATACCTAAATGATTAAAGTTGTCTTAGATAAGTGAATGATGTATCTATAGTTATTAACTTGTTCGGACGATTAATATCTAAGAAATTAGTAACCCTAATTAAATCATAACCACAAACATGTGTCCTTACTTTAGGGATCGTGATTACGGGGATCCCTAATCACTGACAAGCCCTTACGAAGTTTTTTGAGATCTAAATATATTAAACATAAAATCAAAGCAACAAAAAACAAACCCAAACTTATTTTTGAAACTTAACCCAATAATAAATCGGTCATTCTATTTTAAACCACTTCTAGCAACTTATTTGACTGCACGGTTGGTGCGGTGGCTGGGCAACCGGCTGCCGAGCAACGTGTCGCGGGTTCGATTCCCGCACGGAACAACACTTTGTGTGATCCACAAATTGTTGTTTCGGGTCTGGGTGTGATGTGTATGTAAACTTGAATGTTTGTAAACGCACCCACGACACAGGAGAAAATCCTAGTGTGGGGCAACGTTTTAAAAAAAAAAAAATAAAAGAAATAAAAGAAAAAAAAAAGAATTATACACAATGGCTGAAAGGACTCGGTTTTGTTATTGATCTGGTTAAAAATAACAAACACTGTTTTATGGCTACCATTATCGAGTTACGGCCGCTCGTATAAACAAGTGCACTAGTCCTGCCAGTTGGTCGACATGATTTGACAATGAAATATCTGTCAAGGAGATAAGAAATGAAGATTTTGTCAAAAATAATAATGTTTAGTCATGAACGCCTAAATCCATATTTAATTTTAACAATAAGGTATCATGAGCAGCTAAGTAGAGCAATCAAGCCAAAAGATGAGATAAACTTGAAATATTATCCATCAGAACAATAAACCAAACAATACATTAAAATTCTTTTAGTATCGTTTGAAATAAAAGTTGCAAAAAACAAACGCAATTTAAAGTAAAGTGAAGATGTTATACTTTGATAAACAGGAAAAAGACTCACTGAAGCCAACACAAAATGCAGAAGAAGCAATTAAAATAATTGCAAAACACAATAAAAACGAAATTATGTCAGAATTACGTGCTCACGAAGGAGGTCAGTGTAGTAAAATTACGAGTAATACCAGCCCGATACGGTTTGTTAGAAATAACAATGAAATTGTTGTAGAAGAAGAAGAAATCATTATAAATCAAATCTTTAAGATTTCCAATTAGGTTAGTAGAACCGCTGACGTATAGACGTGTTATAGTGGTTGTAAATTGTTTAAATCACATAATAGTAAATGAGAAAACACGTAATGGATGCATTTACAAAAATAATTAACTGCAGAAATTCTTAACATCTTTAAAATCCATATATACATAACTATTATGTCTTTTTTTAAGAGGGGAAAATCATCGAATGACTGCTCCCGCCTGGGTGAGGCGGGAGGAAGTGTCAGACTCTTACTGAATAAAAACCACCCCGTTCCTTATCCTGCACGTCGAGCCGGAGCCCCGATTACCCGTTAGGTTCACTAGTGTTATGAAAAAGTCTAATATGTAGGTACCTAAACTACACAAAATATTTTAAGGATACTAATATAACGACGAAAATGCAACCAGCTTTTGTAAGCCACGTGGAAATCCTATTAATAAATTAGTCCGAGTGTTATTTAATAGTGACAATCCTATTGACCGCAATTACAGTCACAGCTAATGACTGTGAACAGAAATACGGTCAACTGAAACAATAATATAATAATAATAATGGTAAAGAAAATTACAGCACCAATCTCCAATCAGAATAAAAAAAATAATAATTGTATTTTGGTAAATCAACCTCAATAATACATTACCTATCGCCATAATACCATTGGTGCGTATCAACCTTGTGGTGTCGTATACACCTCCTAGGTAGATTGGTTAGAATACAATTTCCCGTAACTATGATAAAATTAAGCTATAAGAAACATTAAACGTGCTGCCTAACCTTTACGAATAAAATAGTTCGCTTTGAAAAATATACATAGCAGATTCGAAATAGTGGTCAAAAGCCTAAAAAAATTATCAAAAAAAGTGATAATCGAATTTAGGAACTGTTAAATAGACCATACATATCCCAATCATATATAAGATCTTAATGTCTTATTAATGTCGTTAATAATTGGAACAGATTGTGTGAAATAAAGGAGTAGATTAGATCACAGTTAAAAATGGGTAAAACCCTCTAGTAGTGACTACTGTCATGGATGCGTCAACAGACCCAAATTCGAAGAAACAGAATCGTGTGATAATAATTGCTTGATTGAATAATGACAGTAATGTACTGTGTGATACCATTGTCTTAATACACACACGTAATGAGGATGTTATAGTTAAACTGCGATCGCTTAAAGAGGATAAGTGCAGATTTGCCACCTACTTGAAACCTTTGGCGTGAAGTGCAAGGATTAAAAGTTGATCCAATTGCCTTGTGGTGGCGAATGTGGTGCGTAGGAACTAGCACAATTTGTTATAGCTGGATTTTGTAATAGTAAACAACATTCAGGTACTGTATAAATCTATGAATAGGTATGAAACGGCAAAGTAAAAAGTAATCAAGCAAAAAATCAACTACTTCAATCAAGGAAACTTTTTCTAATCAGGCACTAAGTATGAATATTTCCGCAATCAATCAGAAGGAAAAACAAGCAATAAAGATCGCAAGCAT